CAGGAGGGGAGGGAGGGGGGTGGCCGAGTGGGTGGTCGCTCTTGGGGGCGGGGGTTGGGGGGCAAGGCTTCCTCCACCTGCCAGCTGGTCGGGGGCGGATTGAAGCCCCCAGAAGTGGGGGAACCCCCACCCGGACCTGGGGGATGGCAACCCTACAAGAGAGGCACTGCTGGTTAGAGTGCTGGATGAGGATCCTTGCTGTACCATGGAAGCTTGCTGGATGTCCTTGGGGCTGGCTGGCATTCTCTCTATCTCTCTGTCTCTCTTCTCTCTCTCAGTGTTGCCTACCTCACAGGGTTCTTGAAAGGATAAAATGGAGGAGGGGAGAGAACCATGTAATTCTGCCAAGCTCTTAGGAGAAAGGGTGTGATTTATGTGCTAAAAATGACATATTTAAAGCTATTCATTATGCTGAGCTGCAGACCTGAAGGTCTATAGCTCGGCAGTTCAAGACCCAAGTGCCGCATGACGGAGTGAGCTCCCGTCTCTGGCCCCAGCTCCTGCCAACCTAGCAGTTCGAAAGCAAAAAATTGCAAGTAGACACTTCGGTGGGAAGGTAACAGCGTTCTGTGCGCCTCGGTGTCTAGTCATGCCGGCCACATGACCCCGGAGAAGCCTTCGGACAGCGCTGGCTCTTCGGCTTGGAAACAGTGATGAGCACCATCCCCTAGAGTCGGATTCGACTGGCTTTCAAGCAAGGGAAACCTTTACTTTACTTTTATTACCTTTTTTATCTTGCCTTTCCTACAACGAATGGCCTATGTGGTTTTCTGCTGCCTGTTTTATCTTCGCAATGATCTTGTGAGCTAGGTTAGGGTGAGAGAGCCCAGTTGGCCTGAGATCACACAATGAGTTCCACGTTTGAGCGAGGATTTGCACCTAGACCTTCTTGGTCCTCACTAGAATCTTCACAACATTAAAGCTCCCCCAGGCAAACAGCCCTGAGCCTCCAGGTAGCAGAGGGCGCAGGGTGTCAGTTCATCAGTGAATGAGTTTGACTTCTGTGGCCTCTGGGTCTGTTCCAGGATTCGCAGTTGGTCATAGAAGCCTTTAAGTCTGGCTTTGAGCCTCCCGGTGATGTTGACTTTGAAGACTTCACCCAGCCAATCAAGCGCGCCGTCTCTGAATCCAGCCTTTCAAACTCCAAAGAAGGAAAACCAGAGTCCAGGTTCAGCGGCAAGTCCAAGGGCAAGTTGTGGCCATTCATCAAGAAAAATAAGGTACCGACTTTTCAGACTCTGTCCTAGCATTAGTAGCCTTTGTAGTTTGCTACTTGTGTCTTATTTTATAATCCCAGCAGTCTTTTCTCTCTCTCTTTTTTTATAGAAATTAGTTTCTAAGAACTAATAGCTGATGTCCTGTTGTAATTTGTTGTAATAGGTTTTTTTTCCTTTAATTGCTGGATTTTGCTTCTATTTTATAAGGTTTTTCTTTTAATTTTTCAATGTACTTTTAAAATATTGCGTTGCTTTTATCAGTTTGTTCCCCCTAGCTTGATTTCTTTTGAGTTGCCATGGTGGTTTCTGTTTCTCATTTGGTTCTAGATAATTGCTCTCTGCATACATTGTCCCTTGACTGCAAATTGCTCTTTGCTTACATTGTTAAGCCCCTTCCAGTTAATTAACGTGCCTGTCTTCACCACTGCTGCACTCAAGCTGATTTCTCCTTTGCTCTTCAACATGTGCTAAAGGGGGGTGGGGTAGGGAGAGCTTTTTTTCCTCTGTCCCCCCCCCCAGCATGATTAAAGCCTTATTTGTGGCATGCAGCATTACATGTTTGTTTGTTTTTTAAACTCACATTATCAGCTTTATTCTAAACATCTGGTCCACTGTATCTCCCTACTGTGGCACTGAGATGCCATTAGAATGCTGGCATGTGGTCATGTTATATCAGCTGTGCAACTAAGGCTACAAAAGTTCATAGCCCATTTGTGGCATATTCAGTGGGGGGGAAATTAGTTCTCTCCCAGCTTATCCAACCTTTCCTGCCTAGTCACCCAGAACGTGCCTTGTTTGTCACAGGGGATCAAGGGAAGTGGTTATTGACTGGTCTGTGCTGTGCAATGTGGCGTGGGTGTACCTGTAGCCATCTCCTTGTGCGTGCTGGATAGCAAATGTTTCAGATCAGCCTGTGTAACTCTCCTTCCATTTAAATATTGTCTCTCGTTCCACCATCAGCATGGCGAATGATGCATGGAAGCATGTAACTGGGGTTCTTAGTGTGTCTCAGATCAAGCTAGCAGGGTCCTCTAGTGGGTTTAGATTTCTCTTTTTCCCTGTTCCTGGTGCTCAGGGTGGACTGCAGGAGAAACTTCTGTCGTTTATTGTTGCAGCTGTGGGAGGACAGACTAGGGCGGTGTTTTTTCCAGACTTCCTAACTTCAGATGATTTGATCCCCATTGACACAAGAGAAGCCTTGCTCCATCAGACTAGGGGTACATCTAGTCTGCCAACCTGTTTCATGTAGTATGATTCACCTTGATGGATCTTGGAGGTCCAACAAACAGAGCGCAGAGGCCAAGGCCTTCCCCCGATGTCGCCTCCTAGCACATGTCTTCAGAGAGGTTTGCCTTTGGGGCTCTGCATCAGTTCAGAGTGCAGCCTTTGGTATACCAGACGTTCTGTAGCTGTGACAAGAGCAGGCCTAGATTCACCCGTCATGTCCTCTGGTGACATTTCCGCTACAGGAAGATCAGCTGCAGTAGACAGGTTGGCTTTCAGGAAAGCACAGCTGCTTTTACTGGTCTTACGGGCTGGAGGAATTCCTGATAAGCTTCCAAGAATCCACAGGGGATCCTCCCAGGGTTGGAAGTCCCTCTGCCACACGGAAACTGAAATAATCTACTAGATTCGTAAATGGTCATTGGAAAATGGCACTCATCTCGTCATAGTTTCTGCAGGAGAACAGTTCGATTCGAGTCCCGCAGCGCCTTAAGAGACCAGCAGGGTTTTCGGGGTATCAGCCTGACCCTCGAAGGCTCCTCCCTCGAAGCTCTTGTCCATCCTTAGTGTGCTGCTGGCCTTGAAGCTAACGCTTCTCTTTATTTCAGCTGATTTTCCTTGATGAAGAAATATATTGCATTTTTATTTAATCATCAGGCACATTTCTTTTCTGATCCTGCCCTTCCTCCAGTGAGCCTGGGGTGACAGAGACGTTGCTTCCCTCTTCTGTCGGTTGCCCCTGCCACCACCCTTTGGGGTAGGTTAGGCGAAGAGAGAGGGACTGGCTTAGGATCCCTCTAGGAGATTTGTGGCTAGACAGGGACTGAAAGCCCGTTCCCTCTGGGCCACCACACCACACTTTCTCTTCTGTCAAAGAAATCTCCTTTGAGCCAGGAGACAGATTCCAGGATAGTTCATCAGGAGGGGTGGCGCAGGGGGGTGTTTCTTCATATTTTCCCGCTTTATCCTCTCATTGGTTTCGGTGGGGCCGGCGGGGCCCCGGAGGGGGGGGGGGGGGATGCCATGCATTAATTCTTTGCATTTTATCTCTTACTAAATCATTTTCAGTTACACCTTCCTTTTGTAATGCAAATCTTTTACAAAAAGAAGCACCATTCCCAATCCTTGATCCTTCCTTTTCTTCAAAAAACCCCATGGCCTTAATGATTTGCCTCCAGTTGATTTTGATTCCAAATGTTGCCCCTTTTTTATGCTGGCTTTTTTGTTTTTGTATGTGCTTTTCTGAGTTTGTTTTTTAATCTTTTGATTTTGGTTTTTTTTTTAATTCTATCACTTCTCCATCTCTTATACGTAGCTTATGTCCCTTTTAACATCCCCCCATCAGCCCCCTCCTCCGCCCCCTTTCTCTGGCTCACCCTCTGCTGTTCCCAACGGCCCCCAGTCTCCCAAGCAGCAAAAGGAACCCCTCTCCCATCGCTTCAACGAGTTCATGACCTCCAAACCCAAAATCCACTGCTTCAGGAGCCTAAAACGCGGGGTAAGTTCTCCTCTGGATGTCTGTCTGTCTGTCTCTATCTTGTGCTTCAACTGCACATTCTTCCTTCACTTGTTTCAAGAACTGAACCTCTTCCCCTGTCTTCCTTCCTTTTGTTTTTTTAATCATAACATATAGACCAGATTTTGGGAAATTCACTGCTGTAGTCAAAAACTCCACAATGAAACCACAAAAACATTTTTTTCCAGTTTTTGGAAGAGAGTGGCTTTGCATTTTTTCCTACACACAAATTTTAATGATAAATAATGGGGGGGGGGGCTTTTCAGGGCTTTTCTGCATTTCATTGATTGTATGTCCCAGGTTCTTATGCTGGACATACAGCAATGTCATATCGAATCAACCACTAGAGGGAGCAAAACACATGCGGGAAAGAAAAAAAAATGCCCCAAAGCAATAGGGAGGTACAAGCGATGAAAATGAGGATGTCTCAGAGTCCTCAGATCCACTTAGGGTCATATTTGTAGGGAGAAATTTATTAGTGGGTTCATTCATGACTGATTAATTGCTGTTTATTTTAATGCAGTCCTGGATTTTGCAATTACTGTCACAGTATCTCTTGATGGTATTATAAAATACAAGGACTGTTAGCCACAGATATGGACCTGGTTCCCTAAGGGATATGCGAGATCCTTCCTTAAAGAAAAGGGGTGGGTTTATATCCACTTACTCCCAACATCTATCTAAAAAGGGAAAATAAAAAATGAATATACCATTTATAAAGCATAGAATACAATAAATAAATAAATAAATTGCAAAGTATATGAAAAAAAAGAAGAATTCACACATTTTTTCCTTTGGTTGATCCAGATATAAATCCCGACATGGTGCTATGACTTAAGTGCTCTGAAGTATAGCCTTTGTCTTAGACCAGTTCCAGGGTGCCTTCAAATGATGTGGGCTCTTCCAGGTGAGGTAGAAGCTATTTTAGCTGAACACCCCCAAAGCTCACGCATAGCTCCAAGTGCATCCATTTAAAACAGAAAAACAGTTCCTCCAACTTTTTCCTCAAGCTGCCAAGAGAGCCAGATGTATACTTCCCAGTGGACTGGCATCTTGGATCGGTTTTTAGCCAATGAGCGGATGAGCTAAGAGAGGCACTCTTAAAGAATTAATGCACAGGAAGATAATTCAAACAAAGCACCTGTAAACTGATGGATTATTCACCCTGGGTAGCATGTCTAGGGCAGGAAGAAGAGACTTTTTGACAATTAACCAAATGCTTAACCATGGAATGAATTTGCAGTCTAGTTTTCTGAACCAAGGGGAGTTTCTGTAGCCGCCTATCAGTACACAGGCTTTTCTGAAGGTCAAAACAGAGAGTCTTAACCCTGTCTCAAAAATGGAGCTTTGGAACATGGACTGTTGCATTTGCTTCAGTGATGGGGATAGCCACCGTTTATTTCCCAATCACACATGAAAAGCCCCCCCCCCCCCCCAAACAAAAAAGGTGCCCTTTAAACCTCCC